AAATATATCTCTATTTAATTTATATATTTATATATTTTCTTATACTTTTTTTAATTTTATATTTATTTTAACATGTTCTATTATTAGTAAATGTACTCGTTATAATAACTGTTTGCGAGACGAAATATGTTACAAATTATTCATTACGAATACAATCTCTGTCACCATAAAATTTTATGTTCATATTCATTAATCATGAATTATTTATGCGGTATTGTATACGCAATTCTATTGACATTCAAAATATTGGTGATAATAGTTATTGACATTTCTAATCTGCTTTTATCATTCATGACTATGCCTGAAATAATTATTAAACAATAGATGAATGCGTTACAAAAGCAAATATCCACAAATAGTGATATATAAACAATGATATATGACAATGGTAATAGATATTGGATCAATAGAGTGGGAAGTCTTATTTACTGCTGTGGGTACGTTACTAGAAACCATTACGATAATTAGGCGTTAATGTTTATTTGAGTACATATATCAATACAATTTTGCCGAAAACGTATACGTAATGTCACAAATATGTGAAGCATTCAATGCGTCAATCCAATACACATTCGTAAATGATGTTGTTTTTACCGTTTTTACTACGCTCAGAAAGTAAATCTGAACTTATTTCGGTTCTCAAATACGTTGCAACATTATGTGACTCGGATTACACACTCAGATTATATCTGATTTACTAAAAATATATTTAAAAATTCTTACACACCTCACGAAGGATTTTCATTCTCTTTTATTTTCTTACATTTCTTTAGGAAATGTAGGAAAACATGGCTCTCAAGATACAAAGTACATTATGAACCCATGCCGCAGTCGATAAATCTCATAAATGTATCAAGAAAGGAATTTAGAAATTATTTAAAATTCCAAATAAATCCAAAAGTAGCAATTAACAATTCATAGAATGTTGCAATTAAAAAGATGTCATAAAAAAAAATTAGTATAATTTAAGATACTATTTTCACAAAAATTTCATGATATCATATCAAGATATGTTCTAAGAGCGTTTAGTATTTATTTTTTTAAATGTTACAACAAATTTTGACCTAAATAAAAATCTTTTTACATTTAGTGAAATTTTATATTTTGCATAAATTTTGATAAAAAACTTTACTCTATAAAAACTCTATAAAAAACTCTATAAAAATTTGGATATAGAATGCACGCGAATGACTTGGAAATATTTCGCAAAAAGCATCCGAATGGACCCAAATTTCTTAATAATTTTGATTATTCGTACTGACAATATAAGTAAATGATATGCAAAAAAAATCCTTTCATGCATAACGAAGAATTAAAAATTTAATCAAAATTTGCAACGAAATTTCAATGAAAAAAGAAAGCAGATCCTCCCTCCTCCCCTCCTTCGTCATATTTAATTTCCATTCACAAGAATAATACTGTTTGGGTTCAAATTTTTTGATTTTCAAACGGTAATACATATTATTATACACTGTATAAAATATGCATACAATGTATATGTGTATATAGAAATATAATTTGTGTAACAGATTTAATTCCTTGTACGAATTCTTCTATTAGCGAACACCGATTCGTAGAGCCATTATCAAATTATCTGTGTGGCCGCAAATCCATTCGGTAATAACGCATGTCTAGACATTGCCGTGTAAGTAATTGCGAAAATTTATGTTTAACCTGGTCGTGCTTGCGCACGTAACATTGAATACATTTACAGAATACAGTTACACACGGAAAATACGTTATTATGCTATCACGCGATGAACAAATGTTTGCGACGTTACACATACAATCGCAGTGTTGCTCGCGTAATAATAGGTGTGAAAGAATTTTTTATGTTCGCGTGTCATTGAATAATTTGTTGATTAATGATCAAATAGTCGGGATTCGCGCCCGGCAAGTGCAACTATTTGATTCTAATACGATTATTCGGAAACGGTCGTGTTTAAATTAGTAAAATACACATTACAATTACCAATCAATCGCTAAATGAAATTACAAATTAATAATGCTAGAGATATACGTTGTTCAACGCAGATCCAACTGGCTTATATAATATCGTTCGGTTCTTAGCTTACTATTGGAAGTTTGCAACAGTACGGTACTAAAATAGAAACGAATATCGCATTAAGCTATCAGCCATTTCTTAGTATTATACAACGTCAACAATTGCAACACTTCGACGAATAGCATTCGCGATTACAAGTACTTTACGGACTAAATAAGAGAAAATATTTCCAATTAATTAGGCCGGCTGAAAAAAGCACTTCCTCCGTTTGTTATTATTGCTTTTATATTTCGAGCAAATAAGATTTTGTTTTTTCAAACAAAATGGTTTTTACGTTTAGAAAATGAGATAAAGATTTAAAGTAGTAGAAAGTCATGAGTGATGATTCTGTTACTAATAATGCGACAAAATATGATTTTATATATTACTTTTTGTAAGAAGTTATATTTTAAAATTTGAATCAAATTAAAAAAAAATTCTGATTGCAACTTTGATCTAAAATAATTTATGCTATTTTTATATAAAATATAAAAAATAAAATACCATATCGTTTATGGAATAAAATTTTCAATTTCTTTTGAATAATTATATACGTCTTTCGTTTAAACCATAAATTTAACTTTACAGAATACTGCTAAGAAAGTGTCTCAAACACTAAATATTTGATTGTAATTGATCGCAGATGCTAATTGCAAACATAATTGATTGTATGATTCCTATTTAAATTTAAATAATGATTGCCATAAAATTTCAGAAATGCATTAACGGTGTTACATATTTTTAAAAATGTACATATTAAATTTCAAGTAAAAAAACTCAGAAATTTTTTTATCTTACATTACATCATAAACGCATTATAATATATGTTTCATAAAAATTATAACGTGAAAAAAAATCTGAAACTTGTGCCGTCGAAGTTGAATGCAGTATAAACTGCTAGAACTTTGTAATAGAAATATTCTGTATCCTGCTACAGTCCAGTTGATTATTGCGACTGGTTGGAATCGAAAATGTCTCTTCTTGATGAACGCATTTGGTCGTCACAATTTTTATACGAACGTTAAAAGTTATACTTTTACTTGTACTTCATATATTTAATATATTTCGTAACTGTGCCAGTATTCTTATTCTACATACACTATGTTCCTATTTTATTTCATGTAGCTGTAGTAAACACCTTAACGCGCTCAACAGGAAGAGTCTTCAAGTATATAAACACTCACCAGCATTGCTTTGATCAAAATTAAATTTCTATTCGCCTTATGCAGGCATATTTCAACGAGAACTTTCTATTTCCTTAAACCAGCCGAATTATCAACCAAACGATTTCTCTCTCCGTTAAAAATTTATATACTTATCGCGATATGATCGCGATATAAAAATATATTTTTTTCAAATTGCCCGTAAATAGCTATCTGAATACTAGCGCGGTGTATACTATTATTACTTCTAAGTATTTCTTCCCGTCCCGTTTCCAATACTTATTATACCCTTTATTGAGTATCTTATCAGCTTGGTCAATACGTACGAGTCATCTATAATTGCGATCGTTAAATAATTTTCTTTTCGATTAAAATTCTCTATCTTAAAACATTAACAGCTGGCATAGTTTATATATCAACAAAAACTTTAAATAATCGAATTTTGAACATGTCTTATATATATAAGACAATATATCCTTATCTTCTTTTTAAAACCGTTAATCCGTTATTAAATTTAATTTATATGATACTATATAATTATCACATATATGTGTATTACAAATAATTTCTCTTAAAGAAAATATTTTCGGAAATTGTTTCTTTTTCAAAAAATAATTTAAATATTATTAAGATATTATTAGAATGTTAAATGTTACAATCAACCAGCTATTAAGGAATTAAGGAGAATCTCTGACATCCTTATTAAAAATACATCACTAAATAAATATATTACTGTCTTATTATTAAATAAATAATAGTATGATGATTGCTTAACTGAGCATACTACATGAAACTGATTAGTTTGACACGCGTCCATTTTGACACAAATTACTACTGAATGTCCAATCGTGCTGGACCCACTATATATAGATATATATATTTATCTTACTATAAATATTACTTTTACGATAAGTGTAACCTAACAAGTTAGAAGTAACCGCTAACGTTAATCATGTTTGACTCAGGAAACTGTTATTTTTCGTAATTAAGCCTGCGCTGCTCTCTGACATAGGTATTACGGCTGATTTTTCGCCTTTCGGTAATTTTGCATGCGATTTTATGTTCGGTTGTAGACCTTTCAGAACGTTCTGAAAAAAAGTAAAATCGTAATTATATATTATATCTAGAATTCAAATGAAGTCCGCAGCAATAATTATGGCCATTATATATACACGATAATAATGCGAAGCAGCTTTTTCATATGCATTCTGCATATGATTTGTACCCAAATATGTTCAAATTTACCTCTTTAAATGATCCTGGCGTACTTATTACGTAATACAATGCATATCCCGGTATCCAAATCATAGATGAAAGGCTTAAACATACGCCAACTACTTCTGCCCATGTAGGATATTCATAGTTGCTGCCATATTTCAATGGTTTATATTGCACGATTTGAAATATGAAGATAAACTGGAAAAATAAAAAAAGAAGTTTTTAATTTTACTGTAAATAACACATTTTACATGTTTTTATATAATGATTTCCACGAGTTACACTGTAAAAAGAGTATGTAAAATTATATAATTAATGTGTGTAAACATTATTTGTAGTGAAAATATATAAAATTATGCGTTTCATAAAAATTAATATTTTCATTTTTAATAAAGAAGAATAATTTTATTTAAAAGTTGTGACATTTACGTGTATATGTAAATATACATTTTTAATAGTGAATCCCAAAATTACTCACTATAAATGTTGTAATTTTACATGTAATTTTTTTACAGTATAATCTGCGATCAATTCTCTTTGAAGAAAGTAATAATAATATTTATCTGCTGTAAGATATAATTACATGCAAATGTAGTACTTACGAGCATAATCACCGGCGCAAGTACAACCCAGCATATGTACCAGAATTTATTTAATCGAATACCCATCATTTGATGCACACAGTCACAGAACTTCTTTGCTCCGAAAATCCATGATATTGCGATTGTTTGGAAGAAACAAACCCATAGAATAGACATTCCGCTCGCAGAGTAGAAATCCATCAATTGGAAAATATAAATTCCTCCCTAAAACGTAACATTTTCATTTTCTTTTTATTGATAAATTGCTTCTGAAACTTTCAATTGTTCCTCTTATATACATATTGAATAGAAATGTTTTTAAATACTAACGTTCGTAACCATCGGAATTCCCAGAGCGAACATTATCAGGCAGATAGCGATGGTGAATTTGATTCTGTGTGGACGAAGTGTATCCGGCCAATAGTCAACCATACCAGTTATGAAAGATTCCACGATGCAAAATTCACTGTCGATACCGAGTATCTGCATAAAAATTGAAACAATTTATATACCTATAATTCAATATTTAAATGATGACAAATGAAATAATTCTAGTCTCTCCATTTGCTTAGTCATTGCTCTAAAATCTAGATGTAAATTTAATATGATACGTATTACAATATTATATTAACATTGATATTTAATAATCTATTTAATAATCTCTTAGAAATATATTTTTTACTATTATCTACACCAGGCTTATTCAAAATTGAGTTCGCGAATTAAATATCTCTATAATAGTCTTGTTGAGCTAGATAGATAGAAAATAAAAAGATAGAGCAGCCAACTCTCAGTCACTGGACAGAGCTTTTTGTTTTTTCTTTATTAATTCAAGATGATGAAGAGTGACAAGCGTTTAGCTTGTGAGTTAAGTTTTGGACAGCTCTTCACGATTAATCTTTATTATTAATCCATCTTGTGCAATATAATCGTAAATTACAATATGAGTTACGAGATTAGAAAGCAAATTAACATTCTTACAAAAAGAAATTGAACAAAATGATTCGAATAATTATATTAATTATTATTTATTAATTATATTAATTGAATTCATAAATTGTAAAATTATCTATAATAAATAAAATATAAAGATTACTACTATATTTGCTTATACTGATACAACTTTTTGTATAAATTGGCTAATATTATTTTACACTGCTCAAAATATAATTCATTGGATTAAAATTTAAATTTATTACTATATAATTTATTACTAAATAATTTGTTTTGAAAGAAGAAAAACTAAGAAAAATATTTTTTTAAGTCTCTTTCTTGGTTAACTTATTTTAGCCTTGCTTAAATTTTAGTTTCTATAGATATTTCACAATTTTTTTAAGCAAAAAACGATGTTAAATGATGATCTATGGAGAAAAACTTCCTGCCGAAGGCGACAACATGTTCAAACCCTTTTATAGCGATGCACATGAAAAACATAGACGGCGACAGCCGTCGTTGGAATAACAATTTCTTACGAGCAGCATAACGAAGAATATAATGGCCCACAACGAAGCACCGGGTAGCTTCAAAACGACCTCGGGATACGTGAGGAAGACGAGACCAGGTCCGCTCTTGACAACCTCGGACACCTGCGTTTGCTGTTCTTGGGCGATGTGACCCAGTATTGAAAACGTTACGCAACCGGCCAGAAGACATGTCAGGGTGTTGACTACGCAAGTGATTATTGCGTCTCTGCAAGACAAAACTCCCTTTTTGAAAGACTCCAGCAGCGACGACACCACGTTTAGTGCGTCGTGGTTAAAGACTAGAGCACCTTAAAGCCATAACTACGATTCTCGAATTTAATTTACGAAATAAGACTAACGAAATCTGAAATGGCTAAAGTAACGATATATATGGATTGTTCGAACCATTTGGAATTGCGAGATCAAATTAAGTTGGATTAGGGAAACATATGTTCTTATCATCTTTTTTTCTTTTCTTTTTCTTCATATAATATTTAAGTTCATATGATGCCTCGACATTCTGATGAAAAATTGATGAAAATTGATCAAATAAGCAAAATCCAGAGTTGAATAAGTTAAGTTGCGTAACTTTTTTTTAACTAAGTTAAAGTTAACAACCTTGAAAATTTAAGTTAGTTAAGATACAAGTTAATTTATAATGAAATTAATTGAATTAAAAGTTAAGTTAATAAAAAAAAGTAATTGAAAAGTTAAAAGTTAAATTTATTTATTTTTTATTTTTTTAATTCACGATACCAGGGTTTCGGGCTTACAAATAACGGAAATAAAAAATATATACTTCATTTAGAAAATACTCTATATTTTATTTACATGTTTTGTTTATATATACTATTTAGTACATAAGATTCGACTATGAATATTGGTCTGTGGTATGATTTAAAGTTTCAGATACAATACAAGAGACTAGCGATAATAATAAGGAATAATAGATTTCAACTTAGAAACTAGATATATCGAAATACACAATTTCTGACAGATTGAAATCTGAGAGTCGATTGTGTAATTTGAAAACAGGTGAAAATTACAAAAGTGAGTAAATTCACTAGAATATTTATAATTTCATTGGTCAACATCTAGTAAACTTGCTCACTTTTGCAATTTTCTCCTTTTAAATTATCGCTATTGCTGCGTATTATGTCTGAGACTTAACTTCAAAAAATTAAATAAAAAATTAATAGTTACGGTAAAATGTAATTAAATAAAGTTAAAAAATTAAGAGTCTAAAATGTAGTTAAGTTAAAATTAATTCACTTTTTAACTTAATTTTTATTTTTTTAACTTCTAGTACTATCCAACTCTGGCAAAATTTATTATCAAAATTTAATGTTATGGGAACGAGACGTTTTGTCAGTGTCCAGCCAGATCAGATGGAACATAATCGCTTACCTATAACAATTATGATGGAACTTGTTGTATGATCCCAAAGCGGGCAGAGCACCGGTGCCGATGCTGTACGCGAAGAAGATCTGAGTAGCGCCGTCTATCCACGGTCCAGGATTGAGCAACTCCTCCCATCGTGGCGTCACGTAGTAAAGCAAACCGTCGTAGGAACCCTCCAACGTCACCGCTCTTCCCAAAAGAATGAAAAGCACCACGTACGGGAACAAGGCTGAAAACCAGATGATCTTACCGCTCTGATGAAGACCGCGACGGATGATAAAGTAAACGAGCAGCCAGCCAATAATCAGGCAGCCTAACAGCTCCCACTGGATCTTGCCAATGCTCTCGATGCCGGATGTAATGCCGAGGACTCGTCGACTGAAAATTCAACGCCATTCTGTTAATTCAATGTTGCCAATAAATAAATTTGATGTAACATGACTATAATTGTATAAAATATCGCAAACATTATTTTACAGAATGCTTCTAAAAAGAAAACTGACTATAAATATAAATAGTATCTAGATTTAAACATAAATAATAGACGTGAGCATAAATATCAGATTAAATTAGAATTGTGCATGTTATATGATAGTAATATACGAGCGAAAATTGCATTTTCATGTTGCGATTTTTTATTTTGCTTGATTTATTTTATGAGGGATATCTAATCTGATGATAGCTGCTATATTAAGTTGATTAAATTGCAAAAAATGTGATACACGTATGTATATATATTGCTAGTATTATTATTATTATACCGAAATTATACATTACGTAAACAAATTTATACACGAGGGAGAACTCTGGTATGACCTGATTTAAGAAAATCAATGTTGCATTTCTTGTAGTAATCATACGAATCCCCTAATATTCATCTTATATTACAGCCTGACTCATAAGGGAATATAAATCTGACGCATATATACATATACATATATTTCAAAATTTTCAAAGTTTTCGAGTTTGAAAAGTTCCTTAGTTTGAAAGTTTATTTAAAAAAAAATTAAATAAGATTGAGTGTTTTCTTCATTTTCCATCACTTTGTTATAAGCAATATTTTATAAGCGTTTTATATTTTGTAGCATTTTTTAATAATAATTTACTTACTCCCAATACTCTTCTACCGGCGTGGTATGATGACAGGTTTTATTTTCAACAGAATTTGAACAGTTTATTTTTCCGTACTCACTATTTTCCTGAGTCGCATCATAACAATCAACCGTATTCCACCATTTACCTGAAAATGAAATCACAAACTGAACTGTCTACGATAAATGAACAGTTACTTATATATTAAATTTATTCAGAGTTCTCTTTATGATATCGTATTATTTATATAAATATGTATTATATGAAAATAAAGTATTTTTAATCAACTTTTTAATTTTTAAAGACATTCTCTGAAAAAATCCATTTTCTTTAGATTTTTCTGAAACTTACAGAAAAAGCTTGTATTCGAAAGTCTTTATTCACTGTAAAAAAGTTTTTTCTTAACAATTTTTTGAAACAATAAGACATAAAACTTGATATCACAAGGAATAATATGAAATATGAATCGGTATTGGTGGTTTTTAAGAAATCATTGTGCAAAGTAAGTAATAAAGTAAATAAAGTCGCTATTTTTTTCGATTAGCGACAGTAGCGAAGGCGGAAGGCATTTTATATTGTATAAAAAAAACTTGTATAAAAACATTAACACTTATGGAATATCTTATACTATATAAAAGTGAAATAAATTTTCATAAAAATTTTCATAATTGTGAGCACTAATATGCTCATTAGGTTGAATAAAACTACAGTCGGAGAATTATTATATATATTATATATATTATTATATATATTATTCGAAATATAATACAAGGATATATATATATATATTATATATAATTATTAATGTGTTTAATAATAAGATAGCTGTGTTGTTTACCACATCCACTCCAAGGTACTGTTGGTAAATTCACAAACATGCTTATTAGGTAAAAAAGAGTCCAAGCAATAATTATGCAGTAATATACGTCAAGGAAGAATACAATGGTCATCGTAGCATATCCCACACCTGAAATCCAATAATATATTATGCTTTGTTACATTAAAAAAAATTTACTAAATACACATATACAATACAATCTTAATACACATTTCTTTGAATATTAAACATTTACTTTCAATAAATAAATATTTATTCTAGTAAACAAATGATAGTTAAATCAAATTAATGGTTTTTGTATCAAATAAATATACATTTACATTTAATAACTATTTACTAAAAATTACTCAAATAAATATTTATTAAAATTTAGTATTTTTTTAAATGTAATTTATTGTTGACATATTTAGGCTGTACAATTTTTTCATTCCTAAAGATATCAGAAAATAATTATTACCTTGCAGTAGTGGACACAATTGTCCCACTAACGACATTCCACCAGCTCCAAGATATTGTCCAATAGCGACTTCTTGAAAAAATATAGGAATTCCGCAAAACAGCATTGCAATGCCGTAAGTGATCAAGAAAGCGCCTAAAGCAAAAAATTAAAAAAAATTCCAAAATTTGTTAAGGAAAAAATTTATTCTTTTATATAAATATTAATAACAATTATTTTTATATCGAAGGAGTATAAAC